TCAAATTATTCTTATTACCTTTTTTATTTAATCGCTCTCTTGTTCTTTTGATTGACCTTCTTTCCCGCTCTTATTGTTTCTTTCAGGCTTCTTCGTTATTCTTTGGACCCGGGAAAGATTCGTTCCCAGGACTCCGTGGCTGTTATCAACTCGATAGCTCACAATCCAGAAGGTCGCATAATGGCGTGGGAGTTTGTGCAGCAGAACTACGATTTACTGTTCAAAAGGTACGGAAATTTAAAGCCAAATTGTCGAAAAAAGTGTTGAGGAAATACTGCGGAAGCGTCATGGAAATTGAATGAAAATGCATTTCTCGGCCGTGAATGGCATCAGCCATCTACTGTATGATGCTAATGTGTTTTTTTGCTCCCTCTATCAAGATATGGTACAGGTTCTTTTGAATTCAGTCGTCTGATCAAGGCTACTACAGCGCACTTCAACACGGAGAAGAAATTAGAGGATGTAAGGAAATGTTTCAACTCGCTGTTTCTTCTATCGAACTTGGTTAACCTTTTTCTTTGTTTGTTAAGCTTTGTTATCTAGCTGTCTGCAGAGATTATGTGTAGCTTGATAGATAGATTCCTGGTAACTCCTTCAATTAATTATTGATTGATTAATTAATTAAAAAACGTGCTGTTAGCAGTGAAGGCCCAAGAGAAACAACCACCTCTATCAGTTAAAATGTATAAGGAAAATGGTAAAATTAGCGAACAATGTCTATAAGTTGAAATAAATACAGAGTGAAAATAAACGAGGCGATGGAAAAGAAAAAAATTCACGAATCAAAATTGTCCATCAAACAACCATAGTAATAAAACGACTACTAGCAACATTATAACCTAACTAGTTTAGCTAAGTTTGAATTTAAGTAAGTTGTTTCTTTTAAGAAACTGCATCGACGGATAATTTAAACACTTACAACGTGGTTTATTCAAAAGTGAGTGAAGTTTATGAAATAAAAATCACTGTAAGTTGTCCATGTTTATCGAGCTGAAACACACTTGTTAACCGTTAACTTGTTACAACATGTAGAGCGCGTTTAGTGCGATTTCCCTAAAATTTTAATCTTATTTTTTCCAGGTGAAGTCTTTTTTTGAGAATAAAGACACAGGGTCAGGCAAGCTGGCTGTACTTCAAAGTTTGGAAAGTATTAAAGCCAATATAAAATGGCTGAAAGCCTACCGCCACACTGTCGTTGCCTGGCTTCAAGATTTCGTCAGCTCTCACGTTCACTTACCTATCAATAACCCACATCACCCTGTACATGTAACAAGTTTAGACGAGAGATACAAATATGGACGGCCTTGAATATCGAATTCTCATTCACCCAGTCAAGGTAAATTTAGAAGGTATAACTTTGTGCCGGGTATGCTAGAAGTGCATCAATATAATTGCCTTGTGTGACTTAAAACTTGAACCAGTCAAAACCTACTGTCGACTGACAATAAAACCTCTGCACTTCGCACTCGACAGAGGTATACCTTCTAAATAAGCTGGACTGTACTTTCACCCCTTCGGCTATAGTAAATCATGCAGTGAACCACTGAAGTTCTTACAATCTGACTCACATCTCTCGGGTTGCCTTTCTTTCTTTCTTTCTTTCTTTCTTTTTTCAGTTTTCGTTTACAAGGCCATTTTTTCACCCAAAGATGGAAATTGATGATCACTTCCTTTAAATCAGTTAAATTGTGAAATTTTTAGAATCGTAAGTTGATTTAAGATTATCCCGGTGGAGGATTACAGTTTAACGGCAACCCGGAAGGGATCTAGTGTGAATATAAGAATGACTATGGTTTGCTCGGGATTTACTACAGTGAATTTAATTTATCCTAATTGAAATCTTTCATTAGGGTCATAGTCTTGTTTTAAATGTATTAACTTACTTGGAAAGTGCATTCACTGGATTGTGAAAATATGAATTTAAAAATATTTATATAATACTAGCCTATGTGGCTTAACTTTTATTTTTTAAGTCAGGATTGCTTATATGTTTTGGTTTAAGGTGTTGTACATTTTCTTTTCCACAACGGAGGCCCTTTTTTATTTTTTTATTTCGTTGAGTGGAATAAAAGAGATTGTAGCGGGATCGGAGAAATATTCAAAATGTATTACAATTTATTTTTCAATTCATTATTTGAAAAAAATGTTTAGAATAACGACAATAAGGGTTAGTTTCAACTGGGTTTAAATGCCTTTCGGTGTTTAGTTTTGGTTGTGGCGGCGACTTTAAAACTTTGAGTCAGCCACACTTGATTGTTTTCATCGCTCGTGGAGATTTAAAAGTGAAATAGTGATAACAGTAAGGTTCCGTAGGGAAGTCAACATAGTCGCCCATTTCTAAGCAAATTTTAATGATTGAAAAATATATTATAATCAAGAACTGCTCTTGTATTCGTTACGTTTTGGATTTTGATTTTGTTTATAATCCCTCGTGTGGGTAAGGGGTGAGTTTAAATCGTAAGTAATAGTAAGTTTGATCTCAATTTGTCAGCAGTTTCATTGTCCTAATATTTTGAGTGTTAAATTTCTTCAGGGAGACGCCATTCTTTAGGGAGCAGAGATTAATTTTCTCTAGAAATGTTCGTAGCAGCGGAGTAGCTCAAATATATATGCTTTAGAGAAAAAAGTCATGAAAAAAAAATATGAAAAGAAAGATACGGCTGAAAAAGGATAATTTGGGTGAACAGGAACAGAAACAAATTGTTTCCTCTTCAAAGAACAATATGGCCACTCCCTAGTAATGGCAAATTGAAGGGAAAGCCGTTTTGAGTAATGGCTGGAGCAAAAGGAAATTGCATACAATCAGATAATTCTTATTCTGGGGTTCCAGGAAAAATACAGCACTGTCCATCAAAAAATAAAGAAAGAAGAAGAGAGCTAATTTTTATACACAGCTAGGGATGAACTAAAAACCACCTTTACCCTGAAGGATAGAATGGTATTTGACATCCTATGGTGGTAAGACTAAGGTGACCTCGTCAGCTTCTCTCCTTGATAATGTTAGATGATGTAATCCTTTACAGTAAGGTTGCGGGCTTCTTTGACGAATTGAAGTGTTCTTTTAGGAATACTTCTTCCTTGCTTTTAATGTCTTTAATTCATGTGGTTCAAGTTGAACTTGTTGCACAATGTTATGAAATAAATGACTCTTTCTCTCCTCTTCTTTATGTCGCTCTATTCATGTTGACGATGCAGCGTTGTTAATTGTTTTGCTTATACTCTGCACACGACAACACAGTTTGTTCACAGCCGTGTTGTTTTTTCCGGGGCCGGTACAGTTTGTCATGAAAGCGTAAAATCAAGAGCATTGTTATGAACTGATAGCACCAAACATATCCTTTGAGCAGACCGATCAAATGGTTGATGTCGAATAATTTGCCCTTTCGGACAGTATAGCGCGTTGGATCATAAGCATTTGCTAATTTTCTGGTTCGTATTCTCGTTTAAACCTACTAAGCTGTGCGTTTGGCAAAACTACTGCACTTTAAGAGCTTGATATAGTTTTGACTCACTTGACATAAAAACCTTATCGCTCACGCGCTTTTTGATTCAATTGTTTTCTTAAAAGGTATTTTAAAAAGCTCGTGGTAAAAGACTATCGTCTATCATGTTACATAAAAACCTCCTGGTCAAAAATTTGTTGAAAAAGCAAGCTTTCGGCTGGAAAATGTAAAAGGCCAAGCTAGAAAATATATGTAAATCGGAGGTCTGATAACATTCAAATGCTAATCAGAGAGCAATTGAGCTATTTTTACAGGGTACCTTAAGTTTAATTGAAATTAAGGCCAATGCCACAGTTTGTTTCGTTATGTTGCTATTCGTAATCACAGAATAGCTCATCTTCGCTGAAGAAAAAAAAAAAAGACTCACTAAACCTGCCAGACAAGAATTCCCTTTTTTTCAATTTACTGAGGCTACACATTGTTCTTCTGAGCAATATGATATGTAGAATTCCTTGCGCCAATTAAAGATTTATTGGTGGAAATGGAAGGTGTTTTTTATCAAAAGTTTAGCCCATGCCTGCATTTATTTTAGATAAGGCCACTTCAGGCTTTGAAGTCACGGCACACCGCTAACACTAATGAGGCAGACAATAACTCCTCTCTTTTTAAAAGAGCACAGTTCTTCCTTATTTATCGTTTTCACGCTTTTAATTTGCTAATAATGTAAATGAAAAAAATCACTCAGTTCTGGTTAGTTAAGATAAATGCAGTTTTCAGGTAATTCAGTGTAGAAGTGAGTTAATCCAGTGCAGAAGAGGGTAAATTTAGTACAAAGAAACAAATCATACATTCTGATTGGTCAATAATCAAAGAAACTCATAGACAGCCAATCAAATGCGAGCCTTGGATGTCGCAACAAAATTTGAAAATTTGCGAGCGAAACAATAGCCGGCGTTTTAGGAAGGTTTTCTTTCGCCACCGCGGCTGAAGAACAGCTCAAACAACGAAAACTCTGTTAAAGGCACTGCATTTTGGTTGTCGGTTTGGAAAAAATGGTGTTTAGAGAAGGGAATTGCCAAGGAAATCGAAAATTACGAGCCGACCCAGCTTAGCACTTTGCTCGAGCGATCCAACGCCGAAATTAAAAACAAACATGGTTAAACCTCGGAAACGACGATTCCATTTCATCGAAAGTGATTTGACACAGACTGAACAATTCCTTGAACTGTTTAGCCGGACTTTGAACTTTTTTGCACCTTAAAGATGTGAAGATATCATTGCATATTATTGTTTTGATCGTACGCGGTTATTTTGACCGAACGCACGGTGTGAATAAATTATTTTTGCACTTGATGCGCGCGCTTTGCTTATGCTTTATTATGATAAGCTATCTTATATTTTTTCATGTTTATTATTAACACGTAGTCACATGATTTTTCTCGTGCAATCTGGAATAAATAAGCACTTATTAATTTTTTCAAAGACCACAAATTGCACTCGCCCTACGGGCTCGTACAATTTTGTTAGTCTTTAAAAAAATTTACTCGTGCTCATTTATTCCAAATTGCTCTCGAAATCATGTGATTACCTATAGAAATCTTTACTCTGATGATCGGTTCTCAAATCCAGTCCCAAATCAAAAAATGAAATTTTCTCAGCCGTTTTCAGATATAAACATGATCCATACCCATTTTCAGTCCCACTTCTAAACATTGTCATTGACTTGCAAATCCAGTTTCAGATACTCTGTCATTTCGTGTAAACTTCGCAGCAGTGCCGTAGTCAACAATTGGTAAAACTTGCTCTAAATTTCAGGTCCAATGACATATCTTTGGTACATCTCATTTCTTATTAAACCATACCAGAATCAAAGATCAAAATCCATACATGCTTTAAGACCGAAACGGTTATAAAAATATTTCTCCTGGGGGAGCATATTCCCAGATAGTTTAAAACGGATAATAATCTTCCTACTCTGCCCCCAACTCGGGATATTTTCCATCTCTCACTTTACATCATAGTCAATGGGCTCGACCGGAACCCAAAGCTATTGTTTGTTATAACTTTTAACCGTTCAGATGAACACTCTTACGCAAGATGATTTCTTCTTTGTATTAGTGGCGCCAGTGTTGATTGCTAGACAACTCAAGTGCTGTTTACTTGTCACCTGATAATCTGCAATGCAAATTTTCCGTAACTGTTCTGCACAAAACAAAAAACTAGTCGCAGTTAAAAGCATATGAAATTACCCAGCACCAACGACTTTATCAACTGTATTTCATGAACTGCCTTAAACCCATTATTTGTTTTCCATGCGGACATAATACGAGCTGATGAAATGCTGCTGTCGAACATACGGCTAATTTGGATGGTCTGGCCTCTTCTTCATTGGGCGAGTTTAACCTTATCAGAGTCGTACCTTGAACACCGAAGGCTCGCTCTTAATGAAAGGACTCCACAGGGTCAGGAATTTCCATGGCATTCAATACGACTTCCACGCACTCTTTTGCCCACCAGCTATAAAATCACATTACAAACTGATTTGAAATCATTCAATGTTAAAGGGAATGTTACAATACGAGTTAATTGTGAAAAGCCAACAACACATATTATTCTTCATTTAAAAGACATGAACGTATCAGGGACAACCGTGCTTGAAACTACACAAGAGAGAGAATTCTTTCCCCTTTTATCAGCTGGAAGTGTTAAAGAACTGGAGCAATCGAGGGTAAAAAGCGGAAGAAGAGGCAAGGATCGCGATATAAGAGTCACGGAGACAATGCAAAATAGAACTCTTGAAATGTTTCTCATTGAAGTAAGTGAAGAGCTCACGCCACATCAAAACTACGCAATTTACATCGAATTTGAGTATCCACTGACAGACAAACTTGTCGGATTTTACAAAAGTTCTTACATGACAAAAAGTGGTGAGAAAAGGTCAGTAAAACAAATTAAAGTCTTTTGGTGATAAGTGATATCATTCGTTATATTGAGATTATTTTAGACGAAGTCTCTAATATTAGCGACCGTGAAGTCACAGCCTAACGCAGGCTTGTTTTGTTAGAAAAATTGCGAGTCAGAGCGAATTCACTCGCCCTGACGAAGGGCTTAAGCTCGAAAAGTCAGCTTTCTAATCTCTTTACGGCGGCTATTTCACATCATCAAGACAGTTCATAACAAAACCAATTCAGCAAGTTTAAAGTTATTTGCATGACAAACCAGATTTTAATATTTCTTCCTAATTTATAGCAGGCAAGTTAATGACAGTGTCTCTGCAGTTGAGCGTCACTCGGCATTATTTGCAAAACATGAGTAGTTTTTTTTGTTGACTCATCATAATGAGTAAAGCTCCAAAGATAATTTCAGCTATGAATGGTTGCCCAGTTCATTCTTAGTGACCACATACAGTGGTACAAGTACTTAGCTAGTTGACTAACTCGTTTGATTTGTTCTCTAATTTATTGCCTCTTAAATGTCTTAATTTTCTTCTTTATTTAGTTGCCTTATAAAAGGCGCTCGATCAAGAATGATTTGCTCCTTTAAATTCGAGCCTTTTCAGATTTCTTCTCTGTAAATTGCGGTAATAGGCCTTTTGTAGGTTCACGTCAAAATACGCAGTTTCACCCTGAGCCGGCCTTGCTTTCAAGGAGCGGACTGTTGAATTTTGATCGGAGAGTATTCCCAGAACACTGGAATCAAAAGAATACCCTCATGAAAACATAAAGAAAGTGACAAAGACTTATGAACATTCTAGCACAAAGAGGCTTAATGATTTCAACATGCACAAGAGCATTTATGCGATGTTTGAAAAGTCAAAGGCCTAAGGTGTATGATAAATTGAACTGTATGCATTTTACAATTGGTTCGTGTGCCAGGGTGCGTTTATTGAGATATGAAGCACGTGGTAAGATTGGAGAGCCCGAAACATGCTTAAGAGTTTCTAGAGTCGTTATCGATAGCAACTCTAGTTTCGTGAGTGCTCTCAAATTTCCCAGGTGCTTCATGTGACGATGAACGCACAGCTGACACATGAAGTAATTGTAAAAATAACGTTCTCAATCCGGTTGTTTTTAATGTTTTATATTTTAACTCTCAATGCTTTATATAGACACGACTCGAGGATCACTTGTACCCAGTTATTTTTTTCTTCTTAGTTATCTGGCAGCTACACTATTTGAGGCGACTTTCGCTCGAGCGGCGTTTCCATGCTTCGATGAACCGGAAATGAAGGCAAAGTTTTCTGTTACCATTATCAGGGAAGGAAAATATTCTTCTCTCTCAAATATGCCCCTCATGCAAACGGTAAGAATAAAAAGGTGTGTTAACCCTTTCAGTCCCAATATCTTAATTGTCATTATCCTTACTGTCTCTCATACGATTTCTATGATGTTTTCTAAGAATTCTCATAACTTGTCTGGCTAAGATTATTTTCATATTGTGAGGAGGATTATTTTGACATTGTGAGGAGAAAAGGGTCTATGTCCTCCAGAATGAGTGTCTGTTGCTCAATCTGCACATGCAGAGATGATATTCTTTTTGGGGGAAATCTCCCCTCGCGGACAAAACTCTCACCGTTAAAAGTTGGATAATTTCAGCAAGATAATGGATTGACAGTCATTGCTTATTATTTTAATATCGCATTTTGCGAAAACTTAATGCTGACGATGTGCAAGTCCACAAGATCCTTAAAAACACACAGAGTAAAGTGTGTAATGTGGAAATCTCGTGTCACTTTGCACATTTGTTGAAGGATCCGTCCTAATCCCTGATCCCTGCTCACACAATTACAAGTTTTTTTGTTTCTTTGGTTTTCCTTTGTTTGTTACTTGTTTTTATTTTAATGGGACGCAAGGTCTGGGGTCGGGTTCACTTACATACTTACAAGTAAAATGTATATACTCTCAGATTCTTCTAAAAGTTTTGACCTTTGCTTTCAGGTGAAGGTTGGAGATGATTTATTCGCAGACCATTTCCAAGAATCAGTTAAAATGAGCACATACCTGGTGGCATTTCTTGTGAGCGACTTCGCCCACATAGAGACGACAACGAGCGGTGGTATTAAGGTCCTGAACAATCCAGAGTTTCACCTTTTTTTTTTTTGAAGCCTTAAGTTCTAGTGTTTGCTTCACTCACGAGGGAATGAAGGACACAAAGGTAAAAATGTCTCTAATTACTTTCTCTGTCGCCTTTTAGGTTCGTATTTGGACCCCACCATCGCAACTGGCTCAGGCTTCATATGCACTGGATATTGCTTCAAATACTCTCTCAAATTATGAAAAATTCTTCCAGATAAAATTTCCTCTTCCCAAGCAAGGTAAGAAAAGTTGAAAAAAATTTCCGGCAGTTGCATGCATGTGAGTGTCAATACACAATTGTGCTTCCGTGCCTATCAAATTTACGAGGCTTCAGAACTGATGTTTTCCTATAGCATCCATGGACTTCCTTGGCAATTCCTTTGGTCCTTCTCATTGTTTATCACCATCTCTGCAGATCTTGTTGCTATTCCTGACTTTTCGACCGGTGCTGAGGAAAACTGGGGGCTAATCGGGTTTACCAGCTCAATGCTCCTCTTTGATCCTAAAAAGACATCAGATGAATTACGACAAAGTATTTGCGAGACTGTAACACATGAGTTGGCTCATCAGGTCGGTAAAGAGAAAATTATATTCCTGGGATGTAAATAATTGTAAAAAAAAAAAGGATTTGTGGTGGATAAATCATCAATAAATATTGGTTATTGAATTGGCAACATACACCTATTTGACCTACTTCGACACTAAACTTAACTCCAGGCCCAAAGTCAAGTTGACACCCTTCCCTATAAAGTATTTGCAAGCCCAGTCAGATTATGAGGGTTGAAAGCCCAAATCGTATTTATTGCCACTCATTGACCCACCCTGATCCAGCTCTCAATGTTGACAACCGCTAGACAAGCAAGCGACGAGAAGCTGGATTATGATTAATATAACCGAACTTTGCAATGTAAGATAACCCGCCAGCGTAGGGTTTCCCTAATACTATAATGTTTTTGGTCATCATCTAACCTTGAACGAGTTTCGTTTCAGTGGTTTGGGAATCTCGTAACTATGAAATGGTGGAACGATCTTTGGTTGAATGAAGGTTTTGCTACATTCATGGAAAACATAGGAGCAAGCTTTGTTGAACCTAACTGGAGTATGATGGACCAATTTGTCGTGAAGAAACTTCAAGTGGCTTTCAGTGAAGATCAGTCGAGTTACTCTCATCCAATCTCAGTTGATGTAAAAGATCCCAAGGACATTGACAGCATGTTTGACTCTATATCTTACGAAAAGGTTTGAATAAACCCCTCCGAAAAAGCGCTTAAACTAGGAATATGACGAGTGATGCAAACAATTAAGATATGACAAGCACATGACAACAACAGCCCTAAGCAACATCACAACAAGTGTTATTTGCCTTGTAGGGAGCATCTGTAATACGGATGTTAAAGAATACTATTGGCCATGATCACTTCACTGCTGGTCTGCGGTCATACCTCCAAAGATATTCCTCTAGCAACGCAGATACAGACGAACTTTGGTTAGCTTTGTCAGAAGTAAGTTTTCGATGATCATAACGATAACGTTTCGTTTTTCCACCCTCGAATTAACTCTTGCACCAAATTTCAAGTGTACCCCACAGCTTTATCACAAACATTCCGAATTGCTTTTGGTTTGTATATGTATTACACCACTCTATCAACAAATCAGTTCACCAATTTTAACTAATTTAAATCAATGGCGTCTTTGTTGCTCGGCTTTCTCCTGAGCTTGAGGCCGGCCGGTTAGGTGAGTTAAGTTAGAGTTTCCATTAGCTCCTTTTGACGACAATCTTTGTTTCTGATTGGCCACGCCGAATTGACATTGGTTTTGACGCTTCATTCTGTTCTACTTTTTTCCCTTTTATATTGGTTCATCTCCGCAGAAAAGTGGCATTAACGTAAAAGAAGTTATGGACACCTGGACACTTCAAATGGGTTTACCAGTTGTTACTATCAGGCGCCTGAACCAACACAAGGCGACCGCTGACCAAAAAGTATTCCTTATCGATTCTGGTGCCAGACCAGAAAAGAGTTCTCCATTTAAGTAAGTTATACCCTACAGACTTGCATTCCTCCTCGCTCGTGTTACTTGAGTGCCATCATACAGAAAAACAATGGCACCTTTATGGTCAGTTGTTCGTGATAAGGAGTCACTGCTAAGGAATCCTATATAAAGAAATGATGTTTAATAATTTTGGTTTTCACGGCAATTGAATGGCGGTTAACCTCGCATAGGTATGATAAGCAAAAAAAGAGAACACGATTTTTTTTGGTTTCGACTTAGCATCTGCTTGGTAGTAAATCTAAGATGCCATATACGTCTACCAGAAAAAGTGTAACTCTCATTTTACAAGCCAAGTCGCTCTTTTTTATCACTAAAACTGCATCTAACTTACCAACTCTATCCTCTATCACCCTTACGCTTCTAAATATTCCCTCGAACTTCATCTTGGTCAATCTTCTGTTATTTTTCATAGTTATACATGGAACATTCCGCTGACTTATGAAACTGAGAAGGACAACACAACCAAACATGTTTGGCTGAAGAGGGGAAGTGGTATGTAAATGTTGTCTTAAAAATTTTTTCTCAGCTGAGGTCAAGGCATTTCTCCAGGTGGCTGATCAAGTTTAATCTACAAATCCAGATAGGAAATAATCAATCCCCCAAAAGAGTTCTGTGGATGTCTGCAAAAGAAACAACACACTATCTATGCGATATAAGGGATAACGTTTTAAATTGATTCTTATGTTTATTCTAGTTTTCCATTCTTCAAGATAGATGGTAGTAACGTGAATCTTTTTTTCCAGCTTCGCTTGATTGGTCAAAGACATCTGGGTGGATTAAAGCTAATGTTGATCAGATTGGTTATTACAGAGTTAATTACGACATCGACAACTGGAAAGCTCTTAACAACCAACTTAACACAGACCATACCGTAAGTACGATTATTCTCTTAGGGAACAGTAGATGTTTACAATTAGTTTACATTTTTATTTACTTTAATTGGCTGAACAATTACCAAACTCGTGGTCGTAATGACCACGTTTGTAGAAAATCCTGAGCACTTATGACGAAGTTAGAATGATTTTGTATTATGCAACACTGCAGGTAATGAGTCCAGCCGACCGCTCTGGACTGATTGATGATGCATTTCATCTGGCGAGGTAAACTATTCCATTTCACATGCTTCTTTTCGCATCTCAGTATATTTACTATTTACTACTGAGATTCTATTCGCCCAGCTTCCCGTTGGTTATTTTCATATTTTAAAATTTCTTTTCATTTACTTATTAATTTTTTCCTCTCCATCCTCATTTTCTGCAATAGTGTTAAGTTTCTGTAACGTGTAACTTTGCGCCAATCTCTTTTCGTGATAAGTCCAAATGTAACATTTTCTTAGGAGTGACGAGCTCGGATATGAACTAGCCTTAGAAATGATTGAATACATAAGGAATGAGGCAGAGTTTTCACCGTTAATAACTTTCTTACGAAACATGGAGTACCTTGGCGACCAGTTTACTCTACGCAAGTCTTATGATGTCTTTAAGGTAATATAATTTGTGTCCTATCTATATCACTTGCGCTTTCTGGGAGGCCTTATTATTTCAGCTTCAGCAAAGAGATATCGTTGCGTATAAGATTAGAAGAAATAAAATACAAGTTCTTGTTCATAATTAAGTTTGAATTTGGACTTCATTTGCAGTAGAACTAACGGAAACACTTATAATAAAGGGGGTACGTTTCTTAAGAGGCTGTAGGGCTGCGTCGGTGGGAGAGTATAATGGAGTAATTTAGTATTAGCAACTGAGTTGATAACGTAAATTGGCCACCATAAAGAGTTTCAAAGCTGAAGTTTCGAGCGTTAGCCCTCCGTCGGAACGAATGCAGGAATTGTGGGTTGTGTGTGTTTATATGCAGAGAATGGAGCTACACTATTGGTCGGAATAAGATGACGAGAAAACAGGAACAAATTAGTTGAATGAAAAGCACTTGTTGATACTGTGAGGATTGAGAGTGCCGATTTGAAAGATTAAAGAGTTTTTCTAGAGTTTTGCAGCTTTCCGAACTGTTTAGATGTAGGGAAAGGCCGCAAACTGCCGTATGCTTCTTAGAATTATTAGGGAGATTCGAGAGTCTAGCGACTGGTTTGGATGTGTCCCTGTCATTTCTTTTTTGCGTCGCAAAGATGTTCCCGGAATCGGTCGCCTAGTTGTCCTCCTGTTTCACCAACGTATAAATTTCTGCAATAAGTGCAAGTTATGTAATAGATGACATCAGCGGAGGTGCACGTAAAGTGATCAGTAGTGTTCATGGATCTCTTAGGTCCGGACATTTTCTCTACGCTATGAATGAAAGGACAAGTTTTGCATCGTGAGGAAGCGCTTTTGAAAGTACTTATGACCAAAAAGTGGCGGAAACACTTTGTGATTATTTTTTATGGTAAACTTGAAATAGCTGAGCCGAGTGTGATAGAAGAGAAGTTATAAACTACAATCATTTGTCCGCTACAGAGATACATGCTTCAACAACTTCGACCATCAATAAGTAGACTGGGATGGAATGACAAAGGAACGCATTTACAAAAGTAAGAACTTGACTTCTTTTGTTTTTCCCAAATACTTTGTCTTAAAAAATCAATTTAAAATCAATTTCTTCCCTCTAGACTTTGTAAATATGAAAAAAAAAAAAAACAAGAAAATTCATTGTTAATGATTCTAATTCATTCTTTTTCTGATTCCCTGGCTAATTCATGCGTCTTGATCATGGCCTATTATTGTTTTTCCAGAATGCTGCGTCCAAAGATTCTCTTTAAGGCTTGTGACTATTCAGATCAGGACACCATCTTGAAGATCAAGAACATGTTTAAACTTGCGATGGAAGAGAACAAAATGTAAGTGTCTCTCTTTTGACAGCTTTCTTCTCGTTTGTGTGTGATTTGCTTTACTAAAAGCAAACTGATTAATTTCTCTGTTTAGGTTCAAAACTACTTTATGTTAATAAGGAGTCAAGATTACTCTGAATCGCGTATTGTTGAATGTCTCCCAAAAGGCCCTATTATGAAAATGATCAAATAAGTTCTTTGATTCGTTTTTCTTTTTCCCGATACAACATACATCCTAAAAGGCAAAGCCACTGATAGTACTTATTTTCACAGGATCCCATCAAACCTTCGTTCTTTAGTGTATTCAGTTGGTGTCAAAGAAGGTGGCGCCGAAGAATGGAACCAGGCTTTCAAAAAGTACTCAACTACTCACGTCGCCTCCGAAAAAGATATTCTTTTGGATGCACTCACTTACACAAGAAATACTCAAATGATACAAAAGTGAGTGTAAAGGCGAGTATCCCACACTGGAGTGTATCCTACAGTGGGACAAGCTTTGCGCTCCTTGTGAAATGAGCCCGCAATATCTACCCGATCGATCGGATCTTCATATCACCATAAACCAACAGGCCTACAAAAAACCCTTAGGGCAAATTGTATTTTTTGCACCAATTATTCTAAGTCTCTCTGTTGCTCTCAACTAAGATCTTCACAATCGTTTGCAGCCCTTAAATGACAACTTTAACTTATTAAACTTCACTGGCAACACTAGGAATAGCACATCTCCGAGATTCCCCTTGCAGTTTCTGATTTGAATCTGAATTGATACGCAGTCAGGTACGAAAAATTTGTTTTGGGGATGCAAATAAACTCATAATTCTAAAATTTTGGAACTCGAAAACAAGCTCTAAGCGAGGTTTTCAAATTCCTTTTCCCAATTGAAATAGATTCCCTCGTCTCTCTTACTCCTCTCAATTTTTCGTCAACAGGTGCTTAAATTATTCGTTGGATAAGAAAAAAATTTCCCCTCAAGACACACTTTCAGTAATCAGCGGGGTGGCGTCTAACCCCGAATCATGGAAAATGGCTTGGGATTTTTTTCGTGAACACTGGCACATTCTGTACGAAAGGTATGAAGAATATCAAGTCATAAAATCGCACTTGGAGGCGATATGATCTCTACTGCAAAACGTTGTTCCTTTGTCTCCTTGACGCTTATCTTGCAATCTCAAATCTCACAACTCTTCCTAATCATCTCCTCGCAGGACCTAAATGGCGCTCCAACTAAAGCAGTCTTCTCGACAAGTCTTCTTTCATTATTTTCTGCCGATGAAAAGCGTTTCAGACAAATATTTCAAAAGGAATTCATCTTCCTGTTCTCCTTTTTTTTTGCGTCATCACAAACCATATTTTGTTCTGGCTAAGCCACCTGAAAGGAAAGTAATTTGAAAAGCAAATTTGACACTTTTTTTTGGCCCAAAACACTTTGAATCACAGAATTCGATTAAATTGTAAGGCAACTTCGACTAAAAACCCTTGCTCTGTGCCAACATGGGATATGATTCTCTTCGACTATTATTTTTATGTGCACGAGTTTCATATGGAAAGAAAATGAGTTGCATTTTGAAGCTTGGAAAGAAAATGAAACATAAATTACAATAACGGATAAAGTAAATTTCCTCGGAACATGCATACAATCGCATGCAGCTTTAATTTCCAACTGAGATAAAAAACAGCGTCCGACATCAAAAAAGTATCCTTTTAAACAGGACAATAGCGTTTGAAAGCGGTATGAAGCGTCATTTAAAACGTTCTTCGAAAAGTAAATTGTAACATCTTTCTGAATGATGATGAAAACTGACCTGTCAATTTAAAATTAACTAAAATGTTTTACCTTAGGTATAGTCGTGGATCCGATGAATGGCCAGTTTTGATTGAATCTTTGATGTTTAAATGCAATACTCCCGCACAACTGAGCCAGGTAGGATATTTGATATAGATGTAGATTATTTTCCGTATTCGATAAGAAATAAAATGCCAGGGTTGTGAAAGATGTTTTTTTATAATAACAATCTTTTGGATTTCTTGATGCATTACACAACTTGAACTAGCAGTCTTCGACGGTTATATGGCGTTATCCATCCACGCATGTCACGGTGTTCCTCTTGATGTTCAGCACATGCCTTGTTGCCGCTTTCGCGAAATCCAAAGTTAGACAGTGTTGACGGGCTCTTCCCAGTATTTAGACGTGCCTCTTAATTGAACGCAAAGTTACTAAAACGAAATAAATTATTTCGTTATTATTCCGGCTCATTTCAATCCGGCTGACTTGAAGTAATATTAAAAAACTATTCTTTTTAGGCTTCCCCTTGGCTGCTTCTCACAGGGAATGACGGGATGAATAATTGCTACTTACCTTAGTCCTTTCACTCCTAAGATCTCAATGTTAATTCTCCGCACTGTCTGCTGTCACTGTCACTGTCTATCATGGTAGTTCGGGGAATTATGGATTGGATCAGATAACAATCCCCTAATTGATATTTTTTTCTTTATTCTCTTCACTTGTCTACTTGATAATGTATTAACTTTGAAAGGAGAAATTCTGTTTTGGTCACTCATGGGGGTTAACGTGTAAAACCTACTAAAAGTAACTTTGTAGGCAGATGTGCGTTTTTCAACCGACTTTTTAAGTTTGCTTGTGAATTTTTCTTGATTTGTTACAGGTTAAGAAATTCTTCAAGGATTATAAGCCCACAGACGCAGCCTATCGCCAGGTGAAAATGGGAATAGAGCGAATCCACGCAAATATACATTGGCTCAGTCGGCATGAGGAAGATGTTACCAACTGGCTCAATCAACACGTGCAAATCTGATAAAAGAGACTGTTACATATAATGCACAGTTTAATGGACAAAGCAAAAATTGTAGATTATGTCAGCTTGAAAAAACATCAGACTCTGTTTGATTAGTATCGTTTTGTCATTTTAAATGATATCAAAAAGTTGGTTTGAATCGATATGACTTTGTCAAATTTAGACCCTACAAAAAAGAATCTACGGAGAGTGAAATCTCGCCAATTCTTCAGACACGGGCGGTCAAATAAATTGTTTCTGAAAAGTTTGCAAACTATATGAAATCAAAGACTTTCGGAGCAAATTCAGTTTAACTCTGAGTGGTGAAAAAAAAAGAAAAAGAAAAAACGAAGAAGGTAGGGAAAAAAACACACATCCACGTCAAGTCAATCAACAAAACACGACCTTAACGTGGGCGTGTTTTTTCGTTTTTAATTCTCAGGCCTTAAGTTCACCTAATACTGATAATTAATAACTGTTAGTCCACGAATCTTTTTCTACAATCACCGTGGGAAAAAAGTCACAGAATGGTGAAATTATGTAAAAACTTCGATCAATTTGATTGTAATTGTGCCAAAAAATAGAAAATTTCTCGTTTTCCATGAAAATAGTTTTACAAAAAGCTGAAAATTGTGCGATATTTGCATTGCTTAAAAGTGAGTAATTTATCTAATGTGTGGTCTCAGCCTTTTAGCCGCTGACCATAAGTTCCTGGACACCTTCATTGCCTCTTCCGGGTCACCTTTACCATCAAAAAATCCAAATATTTTAACTTCTGTGGAGTTTTTGGAGGGTTTAAGAAACCTCGAACCTTTTCCTTCATATTTCATTACTTCCTTTACTTGAAGGAACAGATTTCCGTCAGAGATTTTATAGATCGAGGTCTTATCATGTCTGACATAAGAAACTTTCGTTTGGAAGCCGCTTGCCAGCTCCAAATCCAAACTCATATTGCCTGGTTTGCTGAGGATTGATTTTGTGCTAAACATTTCGTAACCAGGTGAGCTCATGACTTCGTCTTTATCATCTTCAAGTTTTCTTTGAGAGCAGACGGTGACGCGGAAATCTATGTCACGTGACTTCGCACTTGCATGGCGCGGGGCTTTGACGTCTGCTACCACCCAGTTAATAGGTGGAATGTCTACGTCACAGAACTGCAACTCGCTGTCATAGCGAACGGTTTTGGTGTGGTTTCTACCTTCCTTTATTCCCAGGGTGTACGTTTCTGCAAAGCTATCATGTAAGATTGTCGGGAACGCCGCAGTCCAGCTCTCACCGCAATCTAAAACTGGTATGAACTTATGTGTCATCAACTTCCGTTTTTGGGCCTGACTAGACCCGGGCCGGTTTGTGGAATCTGCGTTCTGACTCAGCATATCCTCAACAGCTCCAACCCTTGGTGCATCAAATCGTGCGTTTTGGACATAAATGCTACCAAATTCCACCCTGATCATTAGTCTATCAGCACCGTGAACGTAGGGTAGATACTCCTGCTTAAAAACCCCCATTTGAGAGGAAATCAAGCTTAGAAATTTCTGTTCTACCAAATCGCTGTTGGGCCCATCGTCAAGGCCGAGGCCATGCCGTAGTAATCCATTCAACGGGTCTAGATTCACCGCATAGTCCCCTCGTTGCAGCTGCTTAAAATTGACCATATCATTTGGCCCATTTTGGTCCAAGAACAGAAACCGACTAGCCCCACTCACGGTATGGTCATAAATGTAGGATCTGCAAGTCGTTTCAATCTTCTCCAATTCATTTTGAACCGCGTGCAACGTAAGGTAATTTCCTGTGGCCTCAAGAATGTAACCATTCTGAGCTGAAAATAAAAAATAACAGTCCTATTAGAACTCATTCACGAGGTAAGTTTACTGGTGTCGTGTCCAGGAAAAAAAGGCCATAACATATCATTTGGGGAGATCAATAATGCATACATCATCTTGAACTAACAGGAGTTCTTTGAAGTCTTGCATAGAGCGTACCAAATGGAGGGAGTTACATAAAAAAAGAGAGGCTTTTGACCAGCTTCATAATGTCAGGTTACACCCATTGATAACAGATATCTTGTTATCATTTTGGCGTTTAGTGCAAGCGGACTAATTCAGCAACCGAATCGCGATCCAGAAAAAATATTATGATCATAAGCACTCTAAACTCTGAAATTGTGAATAAGTGAGAAGATTTGCGCATGAAGAAAAGCTTATGTATACATTCGGAGACGTTGTATCTAGTTTCTTTGTCACTTGGTTCTTATGAACAGACCGAATCGGTTAATCAGCCAATCAGGACCAACTGTATCAACTGAATCAACATACAGACCGACTAAATTAATTTACCGATCAATCTAGCAATATCCAAATATTTCCAACCAAACAATCAAGCAACAAAATAATTAATGAAACAAACAACCACACCATTTACGAAATAAATAAATGAAATAAATGAAGAAACAATCGGACGCAACCAACCGAAAAACCAGACAACCAACCAAACAACCAAATGATTCAACTAACCAAACCATCTATGAAATACAAAAAGGAAACAAATGAATAAAGCAATAAAAGCTGACAGCTTAAAAAACAACCAAGCAACCAAACCAACAAATGATACAACCAGCCAGAACATCTACGAAAAAATAAATGCAAGGCAGCCAGCCAACCAACAAACCAACCCAAAATATGGATCAACCCTTCAACTTAATAACCCATTAAAACAAAACAATTAATGAAATGACCACATCAACCAAGCAACCAACCAATCCATTTGAACAGCCATCCACCAACCATATAAAGCATTCAAATTAGCTAGCCGTTATCCTGAGCAACCAAATAAAGCATTCAAATTAGCTAGCCGGTATCCCGAGCAACCAAATGAAGCATTTAAATTAACTAACCGGCATCCTGGGCGACCAAATGAACCATTCAAATTAGCTAACTTGCATCCTGCGCAACTAAATGAACCATTTAAATTAGGTAACCGGCATCCTGGATGATCAAATCAAATATTAACCTAGCAACCAACCCTCTCCATCAAAACCGTCATCCATACCGGTATGTTGAAAAATGTGCAAGATTCCACGTTTTATTTCCCTCGATTGATTCTCTTTTTACGCGTACCAAAACACCAGATTAAATGATCTAAAAGTTCTTGAAATCGAAAAAAATTACCTGGTCTTAAGGAGATCTGAGCTGACGTTAGAGTCGATAACTTGACTCTCACGAATTCTTCAGCAAAGCGGAGCGCGCCCCAAGTCGTGTTGGGCATGGACAGCGTTTCTTTTAGCTCACGCGTGCTCTCTGTATGTCTTGATGCAGTAAAACTATCCAGACCACAACACTGTGCAAGTTCATGGAACGCATGAAGAGCAGCATCGGAAAAGCGATTACTTTCTTCTGTAGAAACGTTTGGACAAAGCGTTTCCAGGCTTTTCACTGGATTTGTCATAATTCGTATATGAAGGGGATCATCGTCTGCTACTAAACTGTAATGCTCAAAAAATTTGATCAACAGATGACCTGGAGTTTTGTCGCCTTTGAGACCTTTTAGTCTTTCCTGATAATCTTCTCCCAGCACTTCATTGCTCCACACCCTCTCAGCCTCGGATTGTTCGACGCTGGACGGTAAACCAAGATGGCGTGAATAGAAGTTCTGCATATCAGCGCTGCTTAGCTAATAAAAAAAGTATGATAAAAAGATGAATGTCACTGACGTCCTGGCGGTAAAAGTGAAAAAAGAAAACTTTCATTTTTAGACTGAATGAAAGAATGACATGAAGATGTTTTATCGAAATTTTTCTAAAGACGGCGATACCCTTTCTCAGGACGCATAAAGTCCTCCCTCTAAATCATTTTCCGTTACTTTCGTTTCCAGATAATAATTGAAAGTTAGGGTGCGTTCCTTTAGGAGAATCCGGATCAGGATTTCTGATCTGCGGCGTTCCTTTCGAGCAAATTCATTTTAAGATCAGTTAACTATCAAATCCACTCTGGACAAGGATTCATCGGATCACCGGTCTGCGCGATCTAAAGACGGATCATTGGATCATTGGATCATTGATCCAACGCGTTCCTTTGGGAGAAGGATCAGAAATTAATCATTTTGCCCAGCGGTGCCCAATTTCAAACATGTAGGTACCTCATGTATTGACCGGAAAGATTGTTGGGGATCGCTCCCCAGATTCTGTGATAAACACGAAATACACTCAATTTTGTAATGTTAAATCGATCGGCCTCTAATCACCGGCATTCAGGGTTCCCAACACAGGAGAATTGTTTAATACGTTCGAAATAATTCTCAGAGCGGACATGGCACAATATTCAAATCCGGATCCTCCCAAAGGAACGCACCCTTACGCTCTGCAACTAGTAACTTTCATTTTTTCTTTCCGAAAATCACTGATGCACGAGTACATGAGACTTACCTTATTAATAAAGTCAGATTCCTCACAAAATACGAGAAAAATGGTGGCCAGATTTTCGTCTGACAGGAAGCTGTTCCTCGAGTTCCCAATAATACGCCGTCGACGCCCCCAGTGGATCAAAATCAGCAGCAGATGGAGGAGTCGAGGACACCGCTGAACCTGCATACTGACATAAGCACTCTTTTGAAATCTGTTAGAGTCTGCTGTGATGTAGAAGTCCTGCCTCAATAACTTGAGACCTAGATAGTTATGCAAAGAAAGGATGTTTTCTTTTTTCTACTACTTGGCGAGTTAGATTAAAATATCAGGATGTATTTCAAAGCTCTCGAGACCATTCCAATGTAGTATAACAGAGACATTTAATCCATAGAAATTAGAGGTAATGTTGAAAACAATATCATCTTGTTGTGAATCTTTGAATATAATTTAATTTATGTACCTTGAGAGGAGCCGCGTTGAAAATGCAGAACCAAAGGATGTCGTTGCATCTTGACTTCACCCTCCCGGCTGAGTGCTCTG